TCGTTTGCTCAAGAGGCCTGCTAGGCAAATATATTGTTCTCGAACGAGCTTGCCAGGCGGTACGGCAATCAGGGCATTGTCTCAACGGCAGTCCATCCAGACAACATCAGGACCGGTTTACAGCGAGATATGCCGTCAGTTGTGAGATGGATCCTGGTGAGCGCCTCTTTATGTCTTGAAAGTTTGCAGCTCATGATTCTCAGAACAAGACCATCCTCCAACCTGCCGAATTGGGAGTCTTGACTCAACTTCGGGCTGGGACTTCCCCAGAAGGCGCAGAATGGAACGGAAAGGTGAGTCTTTGACATTTTGACTCTCTCAAATAGTCTAAATCTTCATTCCTCCAGTATATCATACCATGGGCACGTTTGGGTGAGCCACACAAGAATTGTGGGGACGTAGAGCTTGCAAAGAAATTATGGGACTACATGGAGGCCGAAGTCGCCCAAATACTGTACTATTTCGACCGTAGGTTCATGCCATGTTACACGTTACAGGCCAAGTTCACTGGCTGACAGGTTCACAGGCTGAAATTACCTGTTACAGCTTCAAAATAGGTTCATTCCCATGTGGAATTTTGCTCAAACCTCTCTTGTGTCTCAATCTGTGGCCAATTTCTAGCACAATTTCCATTCAAACAAGTGAAAAACACTGAAAATCAGCCTCAATTCTGCCGGAGAACCTTTTTTGGATTTTGACGCATGATCAAACTGAAATTGTAACAAGTTCACGGCCAAATTGTTACCGTTACACAGCCTGATTAGGTTCATTTCACGGCCGGATGTTACCTGTTACTGAACCTACGGTCGGAATAGTACAGTATAGACCGCTTTAGTCTCTGATCTTTCAAGCTGATTGTGGACGTTATTACTTGATATAAAACTTTGATGAAATTTGAACCAACTCAACGCGACGATGACACGTGCTGGGAAAGTCCTGTTCTTTGTCTCGTCCTCAGCTCAGAAATGGCCGAAATGATGATATTCTGTGCAGAAAATAGCTGTGGCAGCTTTGCCGCGCAAATGAGATGCTCAAAGTGCAAACATACTTATTATTGGCAAGTTCTGTTTCGCATTTTCTGCCGCCTCTGACTGCAAATCAACAGCAACGCACAATGCCAGAAAAAGGATTGGAAGAATCATAAAAAGGGCTGTGCCATACAATGCCTGCTGAACGAGTATGTAGAGACAGCTGAAGCTGAAGCAGCGAAACAGCCTGTGAAGAAACCGCGAAGGACGCATTGCACTGGGTGCAACGCCAGGTTTGATCCTGAGGACGTTTATGTCGATAGGGAATGTCCCGACTGTGGCTATATGACTTGTGAAAGCTGCTCCTGCCACAACAGCAAAGGTCAGCCATTGGAAAGTTTCCATCTTCTTAACTGACGCGCTTGAAGGCTCATGCTATTGCGAAGGTTCCAATTTTGGCCACCTTTATTGTGAAAGCGGTACTTCTATCTCTTTATTCCTGATCACATCATTTCTGAATCACTGTTAGACCCCAGACCGTACCACCTGAGCTCTCGTACTGGACGCAGCTACAAAGGTGATTACCATCCAGAGGGAGGCGAGATGAAGCGAGAGGGAATGCCAGAGCTTTATGAAGACAAGGAACGCGAATGCAATAATTGCGGCAAAGTCAAGTTCTGCTTGCGCCCCACGGGTCGTCGCGCAGGGCTCGCTGCATATGGCTACTGAAAGATTGACTTATAAAATATTTTCATTGTATGACTAAGCGACCTTACCGAGGTCTCTTCTTACTCCCCGTCTCCGACCTTGACCTTGCCGGCCCTCTGGTTCATTTGTGGAGCGAGCGGTGTCGTTCTGCCTGTCTTTCTTTATTGGCCTCGAATGACCCGATTTGTACTGAATGGCCTCATGATTATCATCTCATCGCAGCAAGACGACCAGCATTAGAGTGTATTTGCAACCCATCTTAAGATGGATTTTTTTTGACCCAAAATTCTTACGTTTTAACCGAGTTTCACTGCCCCACGAATTCGTGGCCGACCATCAACCGAAGCTACCTTTTTGAGCTCCGGGTGACAGCGCCTGCCTTTTCTAGTCAAGCCACCTTCTTCTTGCCAGCGCTTGGTCGTTTCCCTTCCTGAACCTCTGAAAGACACTGGTGAGCCAAGAATATTGTCCTAGCAACCTTCATTGATGAAGATTCGCTTAGCATGGAGCTGGAACGCGGTCACAGCAGAACCATGCCTCAGATATCTTTGTTCCACCTTGCCGTGGCCTTGCTCTCGCTGTGACACAATAGTATACATCCAGAGATGTTGTAAGGTAATTAGCCAGTGGAGGGTTAACAGGCTCATAAGGATATGGTTCAGCTGCAAGCAGAAGAGATGGAAAGATCATAGAGACCAAGATCTTCTTAGTTATAGGCAGCATGGAAGGATAATGGTAGGAGAATGCAGTTTCATCACGTTATCGTTCTGGCCGGAGATGGCGTCATTTTCACCGGTTGTGGAGCAAACTGTTTTGACCGAAAAAACGACGATTTTAGCCGAATTTTTGGATTGATCTGGGCTGCAAATACACTCTATTCTCAAGTTTAAACATCTTTCTATGTCACGATGGTCATTCAAACGGGCCCAATGCCGGATAGAGAGTCAGCTGAAGCGCTGGGGTGAGTTGCTTATTATTTTGTCGCTTCAAGTTTGTTGAAATATCTATAGTTCGGTGAACCTAGTTGAACAAACGACATCCGGACTTTTTGTGAAATATATTTCTTGCGATATTCATCCAATCTTCTGCCCGACAATGCTAGCTTGAAATCCTTCCTATCTCCATGCCAAGCCTCTACTTATTGCTCCCCACCCTCGATTAACGTGACGACACCCTTCATTTCCATGATGGAGAAACCCTCGGTGTAAACCTTACTTGACTTCTTGCTCTTGGCATGGGGTTAATTATCCGGTATTTCTCAGGAATACAGAATAGGGAAGTATCTTGGAATTGTCGAATCACGTTTAGTCGTCAAGGCTGCCAGATTCGCTTCGGGTCTTGCACCAATCAACCACGGGCCACATAAGGCGCAATCCTGTGACGGAAAACAGTCCTTGCGATGACTATCCGACTAGCAGTCTCGGTTCAACGCCGGAAGTTGTTCAAGTCGTGAAATGGAGTCCTGAAGGTATTTAAGCAAAAGTCGATTTACACAGTTTTCCTCACTGACAACTCGCTTTTCAGTATGAAGGTCTCGACATTTGTCGCTCTGTCCCTCGGCTCCACCGCTCTTGCATCTCCTCTCGCCACCAATGCTGCTTGCACATCGGCAGTAAAATTGACGGGCAATGCATTCACTTCACGTACATTGAAGGCTCACAGCTACTATGCCAACGAAGTCAAAGCTGCTGTTGCCGCTATCACGGACAGCAGTCTCGCCACCAAGGCTGCCAAGCTCGCCAGCGTCGGAACTTTCTACTGGCTGTAAGTGTCGGCCTTTTTCCTCGATTGAAAGTCGACTTATACATTCACAGCGACAAGATCTCGACCATTGCAAACCTCGACGGTCTCATCAAGGAGACTGCTTGCACCGAAATCTTGGGTATTGTCATCTACGACCTTCCAGGACGTGATTGTGCTGCCAAAGCTTCCAATGGAGAGCTTGCCGTCGGATCTCTTGCGACATACAAGTCTCAATACATTGATGGTGTGTAGTCCAAAGACTTTCGCCCTTGAACTGTGCTTGACAAGACTCTAGCCATCCGTAAAATCATTGTTGCCAACCCCAACACTGCTCTCGCTCTTATTATCGAGCCTGATTCGCTGCCCAACTTGGTCACCAACTCCAACCTTACCACCTGCCAGCAATCAGCTGACGGTTACCGTCAAGGAGTCGCTTATGCTCTCCAAGTGAGTAATTGAAACACTTTCTATTGTAATTCAGCTTTATTTATTCTATCTAGCAACTCAATCTGCCCAATGTCGTCATGTACCTCGATGCTGGTCATGGTGGCTGGCTCGGTATGTTCATAATCTCTCTTTCATTCTGAATGGAACTGACGATTGGTTACAGGATGGGACGCCAATCTCAGTATGTAACCTCTTCTCCGATATTCTACCTTGACTGAAATCCTTCTCAGCTCCTGGAGCTCAAGAACTTGCCCGAGCTTACAAGGCTGCAGGAAGCCCCAGTCAACTCAAGGGTATCTCCACCAACGTCGCTGGCTGGAATGCCTGGTCCAAGGTTCCAGGAGAGTTCGAGAACACTGCCGTATGCTTCCTTCAACTTTCTCAAGTATTGTTATTGACTCTTTCGTCGTAGGATGGCCAATACGATAAGGCTCAGGACGAGAAGAGATATGTGGCGCTCATCGGTGCTGCTCTCGCTACCGCTGGCATGCCTAACCATGCTATCGTCGATACTGGTCGCAATGCCGTCACAGGTCTCCGTCTTGCCTGGGGTGACTGGTGCAACGTCAACGGTGCCGGTTTCGGTGTTCGCCCAACTTCGAACACTGGTGATTCTTTGACCGACGCTTTTGTCTGGGTCAAGCCAGGAGGTGAATCAGACGGTACTTCAGACACATCTGCTGTCCGCTACGACTCGTTCTGCGGTCTGGCCGATGGTAAGTGCTTTATTTCCTGACAAAATATGATATTCTAACGCATTCTTGCAGCATTCAAGCCCGCTCCTGAAGCTGGTACCTGGAACCAAGCTTACTTTGAGATGTTGGTGAAGAATGCTGTCCCGTCTTTCTGACCGTAAAATTATCCTGCATTATTGATAACAATTGAATCTTTTTTAAGCCTCTTCCTGTGATGCCCAGTTGCGATTAGGCTCCCGGCCTTTGGATCAGGATCCTCAGGAACAGCGGCTTGGCCACTGCTCCAGGACTGAGTTGGTTACAGCGTCTGACTGTCATAGCCATCAATAGAGCCATGCTTGCATCGAAAGGTCGAACTCTGTAGCAGGAAACTATTTTTGTCATCTCGGGGTACAGGGGGGTCAAGCCATCACGCCACAATTTAGCTTCTATACATCCTTGCTCCATGGCTGAGTTGGTTACAGCGTCCGACTGTTATGGTACCGGTCGATAGATGGTTTACATCGGAAGGTCGAGAGTTCGACCCTCTCTGGAGCAGATTAATTTTACTACTGAGCTGCATTTGTGGTTGCCGCATTTTTTGTGACCCGGCAAATAGAGCCTAGCATTCACAAGCACAATTAAATATGTAGCCAGTTGAATCGTAAGTATCGGCAATCATGCACCGATTTTCCTCTACAAAAACGCAGGTCTGAATAGGTCTGAATTCAACCTGAAAGATATCGGCTCAGTCGGCCCGCCGTGCAATTCGCAGATGTGTCACATGCGGTGTGACTCGACGCTCTGAGTCTTTACGCGCACAGCCGACGACGTTTCTCACCTTTTTCTCAAGCCGACTTGTAAGACCAGGTGCTACTGGAGCTCCTGCAGATTACAATGGGGACCAGCTATGAGCTCAAAGGCAAGGCGAAAAAGTTCATCTCCAAGATGTTCGATTTGGAATATCCACAAGGTGGTCCAGGTCCAGCAGCTGAATCGGAGCATCGACCGGCTCAAGCTCAGTCTCAGCCTCAGTCATATCCTCAGATGCTCCACTCGTTTGATGCTCTCAAACTGAAGGTAGAATCAGACCCTGGGCCAGATTTCGTCGGAGGCTTTCATCCGAATCCAACGAGCAGGCCTCCAGGTCATCTTCCACGTCCACCAGCGATGCCTGTTGCCTATGCTCCCCAGAGTCTCACCATGCAATATGCTCTGGGGCCTCCACAGCTCCATTCTCGTCCGAATTCAGCTCCAGATGTAACCAATTTCGGTATCATCCCTGGCTCCAGCGCTCCATCTACACCAGCAAAGTTTCCTGGTCAAATACACGTGCCTTCAACGCCACCGAAACGAGCACGAGCTTCATCGACGCCCCCATCGCCTGCGAATTCAACAGCGGCTAACCAGACTCAGTGTGCAGGCGTCACAAAGTCTGGTAAACGATGCACGCGTCTCGTGAAAACCGGAGGACCAGCTTTAGTCGGCCTCTATTCAGACGACGAAGAAATCGAGCGGTTTTGCTTTCAGCATCAGAAAGAAGTCTTGGAACCGACGGGATTCTATGTTCGCAAGCAATCTGGTGGAACCGGTGATTGGGTGGATTTTGTGGATTTTATTCCTTCGTATCTTCATCTCTCGACACAGGTACGTTGCTTGATCTTTCTCAATCCATCTGCTCAATGTTCTACAGGCCGCTTTGCGCGTAGAGATGGAAAAGCTGAGGAGCAAGGGAGACGAGGAAGGCTGGATATATTGCTTTGAGATTAAAGGTCTGTTCTTCTGGTATTCTACTCGCCCATTCTAACCCTGCTATTGCAGAGGATACCTCTTCTAAATCTTCAACCAAATCGGCACCTCTCCTTCTGAAAGTCGGCCGAACAGTGAACTTGGTAAAGCGGCTTCATCAATGGGGAAAACAGTGTGGCAGTAAAGAGCAAGTGTTACGCGGATGGTTTCCTGCTGAAGAAGGAGAGGACAGCAGTCTCCTTAAAGGCCGGGTCCAGGCTGAAGGGAAAGGTGTCTGGTGCCATCGTTTAGGTGCGTCTTGACTCTTTTTCTTTCTGTTATCACTGAAATCATGTTCTCAGAGCGTCTCATTCACCTCGAACTGGCTGATCTTGCCGTCAATACGCCATATCTCGAGCCTGGATGGAAGAATTTCAGGAAAGGCAAGGGTAAAGGAAGGGCGCAGCAGGCGCAATACACTCCAGCAGTACCTAGCTCTCCTCCAGTCACTGGCTCCCCGAGAGGACGTCCCAGGAAGGGTAGCGCTGCCAGCGGTACCAATTCAGGAACAACATCACCCAGAAAGCCGCCTTTTCTAGTCAACGGGCTGGGAAACTATAACGCTGGACCTTGCGTCGACTGCGGGTCCTTTCACAAAGAGATTTTCTCTTTTCCTCGTGTCCAGTCTGGGGCTTATAAAGGTCGAGAATGGGACGACATTGTAAAGGGTGTTATTGAAGGCTGGGGAAAGTTTGTTGAAGAATATGTGTGAAAGGACAATGCCTTGTATTTTTATTGTGTTATCCTCTGGCTATCTTTGCTGTCTAGCTGTCGTTTATTCTCTCGATGTAGCCTATACACTGTGCTCACTTTAACTTATGGGACTCGGGCAAACTGGATTTTTCTGGAAAACAAATGCGAATTGATACAAATAAATACAGTTGATTCTGGTAGACTACAAGAATGGCTTTTATGCAAAGGAGTGAAATGTGGTTCGTGTAATGATTGTATTGGTCGTAAATTTTCGTTGTATCATGGTTAGTGGTTGATCCATCGAGAGGCCAATGATCATATTTGACTGGACATCGTGAGCAAGCAAAACAATCAATGGAAAGCAACTCACCATTCGATTATCCAAGCGTAATAGGGTTCGAGGGACCGACAGGCTGGGAAGCGATACACTGTTACTGCACCATGAGAGTTGGTCGAAAAAAGAGTGTGATCCTCATGATGCTCGCAAATTCCTCAATGTCTGATTCACTGCAGCATAGTCGTGATCCTCCCATCGCTTGCTCCCTTTCTCTCTCACCCATTTTTTGCTGTATTTCCGCACTGGCACGGCTCTGAATGTCATCCCGCCAGTTGTAATCCAGCTGTAATCAGCCAGCTCCTCGTCATATTCGTCTTCGCTGTCCCCATCGTCGTCATCAACCATGTACAGGACTTTCCTGGCGGTTATAGCAGCGCTTCTATAGAGGCCAGCATCTCCCGACTTCTGAATACCTTTCACGACTTTACGTCGCAATAGGTCTGGATGATCGAGACGCTCGTCAATGGCACTGAGCAGTTCTCGCTCATCAATTTGTTCGCCCAAATGACGACGAAGTTTCGACATTCGTCTTCTGTGAGCTGTGTGAGGCGTCGGCATTACTGGGATTGAAGGAGAAAGAGGACTGAGCTCCAAGGGACTTGGTTCTGGAGAAGCCCCAGGGTCGAATCGGGGAACTTGGTATGAATGTTCCCGAAGAGCTGATGCAGAAGTCTGCAATGTCAATGTCATCACTGGGCGACGAGTTGAAGCTGGAGCTATCGGTCTCAGCAAAACTGAAGGTTGTCTGCGAGCTGGCTTCGGTGGAAGAGGCGGTCGCAGTCCAGCAGGCTTTTCAGGGACTGGAGGAGGCGCTGCAGATCGCATAATCCACGGTTTAACGGGGACTGGTGGTGATTCAGGAATCGGTGGTAATGGTGACTGGGGCGGCGGACGACGGGGAGGAAGCGAAGGCAGAGGTCGAATGGTTAAAGAAAGCGGTGAAGTAGCGTTTGGGGTCTGAGAGCCGCTGGGAATTGGCGGTAAAGGTCGAATGTATTTTCGTATAGATCCAGTACGTCGGGGACGTCCAATGGATTCTTTTCGTGGAACTCTGCGAACGAGGCCTGCACTCCGTCGTGGAGTATATTGCAAAGGCACTGCGGGCGAGAGGGAGACATAAGTTGGTAAGGATAGTGAAGCCATGAAAACTTACCCACAATCTTCAGCTTGTTTTATTCGTTGTGATGGGCTCGCTCAAAGTTTTGAAACCATGGCAGTGCAGCGCCTTTTACCACGGCAACGGGGCGGCGGGAAGGCATCAACTCAACCGAGTAGTACGCGTGTTAAAAGCATCCTGGAACCCAGAGGAGGAAGAAACATTGGTTTAAATGTGAATGCGGCAGCACCAACTGAAGAGGACGTGACGGAATTAAAATACCTTTTTTAGCAATTTTTCGACGGGCGTAAGCGCGATCGACAAACTAAGCGGGCTCCTAGGTAACAAGCGGGCTCCTGGGCAACAGAACCGTAGTAAACCTCCGCGAGTGACCGACGAATCGGACGATCTTCTGTTCATTGATGCATCCCTGACCTTCCCTGACACCGAAAGCGATACCGTTGTCCTTGTTCAGTCTCTTCATGTAGCTGACTGGCTCCAACAGGCTCCAACTATTAGCGAACTGTAGCCGACGTCCAACTCCACGACTGGTGCTAATACTGTACGCTCGGAGCCTCGAACATTATTGAACAAGGTCTGCTGCTTGTAGAAAGACCCGAAGCTTACAGGGACGTCACTTGTAGGTCGACGAAATGCTTCATGGAATATGCCAGTCTCGGATTGAGGACACTAGCACTCATAAAGGCTGTTTAAAAAAATCTGGCAACAAAGCGGGAGTCGGGAGGCGGACCCAGGTGACGGGTTCGCTTGACAGAGACATCTCGTGCCCAACATTTCACTACTTCTCCCTCCATTGTCCGCTATGAACATCAACGGAAAAACCCTGCCAGTTCACGTTCAAGTCGAAACCATCGAAAAGATAAATTGGCATTCTAGGATTCTTAAATCCATTTGCGCTTGCCTTTTGCTCTTAGTTGGATTACATGGTCTCTGTGACTATCGCTCTAAATCAGAAATCATTGCAGAGGCGGAAGATCCTGCATACGATATTCGTCTTGACGTGAGTACTAAAGTTGCTGCGAGTCCAGGCAATCTCACCGTTCAATGTAGGCATATCACCCGGCAGACGCGGAATTCTGTGCTAAATGGCCCAACGAGAATCACGATTCTGTCGTGACATTCAATTTCCCTCTCGACTTTGACCTTTTGTTCTTCTCGTCCGGAGGAGAGCCCACCTCGGGTCACATTGAAGTGGTCAAGGTTGCAGCAGCTGAAGATATCCGGGTGAACATTACTGCCAATTATGCTGAACAGAGTGGGCGGGAAACGACTCTGGTTTGTCGAACGGTCCACGACAACGAGAAGAATGAGCATGGGGTCCTCATATGGGTACTGTTTTCTAATTCTTCCAGTAGATCTACTGCTTATTAGTTTCCAGACTTCATTTCCATCTCTCGGCACTGTCTCAATCAACATTACTGTCGAAGTTCCACAGAAAGATCCTGGCCGAATGTACAACGATTTCTCCACCCACCTTCCATCATTCTCTCACCAGGTCGACGACTTTTTTACTCTCATATCCTATCCTACTGCTTTTAGGCAGCTGCGGTTAAGTAGCTCAAATGCCGCCATAAACCTCGGTGTACGTGTCATTTGGCCTGGACAAGGACTGGCTAACTGCGAT